TCCCAATCGGATGAAGATTAGTACATTATATGTCTTAAAAAAATAGTCCCTATAAGTTCAAAAATTTGTATTAAAATAGTTAAAAAATGTTAACTCAATATATATATATATACTAGTGATGTCTGGTCGCGCAATGCGCGACTCTGGCCCAGTCTATCTGTAAATCTTAGAAATGTTTATATTTGAAAAAAAATAAAATTTTGTATTTGGAGCGATATATTTTAGAAATGTTTGAAGGATTTAGAAATGTTTTATAAGTGTGATCATAGAAATAATTGTATTTCACAAAAAAAAAAGAAATTGTATTTCGCCATGTAAGTTATAGAAATATTTTATAAGTGTTACTTATTAAATATAAATAGCCTTAATTGAATATATGTATTGAAGTAAATGTTAGATAAAATATAAAAGTATCCTAATAAATTTAAATATTAGTAAGATGATTTATTGATGTTCGGTCGTGCCAAATCAATACTTAGTTTTGGAGATTTTTAATAGCTTTGTAATAAATTTCATCCGCAGGGTATACGCTTAAAAAAAAATTGACACTTTGTAACAAAAACCTAATTGATAAATTTAACTTAAAAAACCACTCTAAATGAATGAAACATAAAGAAAAATTTTTTTTTAAAAAAATGTGTCATGTAAAGTGCAAAGGGAGATTTAGTAATTTAGTTATGGTTTAGACAAAAGGGCAATTTAGTACTTTCTATATGCCACATGGCAATCATATGAGGTGTTTGAAAGGGAGGTTTTTGTTTCTAATATAGTAGGATATATATATTTTGGAGATAAAAGGAGTACATGTAAAAATAAGTTCTTGACTCATTTGAACAAAGAAAGAAATCTTGGCCTTCAGATTCTTGTTCAGGGAAAGCCTAACTTCGTAAATTAAAATGACCAGATATAATTTTTATGTGGACAAAGCTCTCTCTTGAGTCTTGACCTCAACAAAAAAGAGAACCTTGATAGACATTTTGGTCCAATATTAAAAGATGATGGGGACTAAACAGTGTCGTCCTTCATATAATATTAATGTGGTCCAGAGAGTAGAGAATGTGAATGGTGGTGAAAGTTTTAATTGTGATTTAAGAAAAAAAAAAAACCATAATTTTCTTTGTTCAAAAATCAACACAATCGTGCAAGGATTGGGGGATGGGTGGGGAGAAATTGCATTTCTACAATTAGGTTAAAATTCCGTGCGTAAGAACCCTTTGAATAGATGCATAAAGCATAACTGTCACACCTCAAGTTACTATAATAAATTTATGTGATGAAAAATTCAAGTTGCAAATTTGCAATTACCATATTAACTAATGTGGAGCTATGAGAGGGGCTATATCTGTGCTTAGTTAGCACACTATTATGGTTTTTGAAAAGAGAACAAAGCAAGTTAAATGTTTATATATATACTTAACATGTTTGAATTCTTCGATATAGACATATAAGATACGACTCTATTTCCACCACTCGATCTTCACCAGCTCTAAGTTACCTTGCTGATTTTTAAAATTTTTTTTTTCCCATCAGGAAAGCTTATCTCCTCAAAGATGACTAGAATGAGCATTACTGATAAGTAGTTATGAATATGCATGGTGTCGAAATGCATCACATCGCTTAAAATAGTAAAATCGACGCCGGATGCAGTGTGTAAGTTGGCTGACGAGTCCATATCCACCGAGAGCTATTAGACCGATCCATCCATACTGTGGTCTAACCGACCTAACAAGAGGCAGTTCCAGAACTTGAAACCGAATAGGATTCGGCATCCTTAAAGGTAATTCCATGCCTATAAATAGGAGGGATCACACCATGATACGGATACGCTATCTCTAGCACAAACTATTATTCACATACATTTTTTAAACTCTTTTCTGACTTAAGCATCGGAGTGACAACCTTCGGGAGACCACTGAGACCTTCTTTCGCAGAAAACCCTAGTCGGAGTTCCACTACCAAACTGGCGGTGTAAAACCAAGATTCGTCATTGGCAAAGCACGCAATGACATTAAGAACAAACCGATTATTTGAAGTTGTCTTAGTAATAAGCTTTCATTCTCGTGTTTTATTGTACACGTTGTCAACAGTTTGTCTAAAAATGACACTTTGGGACATGCTAACTAAAAACAAATGTACAAAAATCATTGATACATTTCGGTTATCCCCAAGTGCATATTCAAAATTTGAATTTCCATGAAATTTTAATTTTTTTGTCTTGTAAAATAAACGAATATATTAATATATATATCTGTCTTCAGAAATAATTTACATTAAATCTTTATATTTGTATTAAAAATATCACAAATCTCAAAATTCAATATGGACTATTTGGAGACACAGAAAACATTTATATAAAAAAATGTCGCCACAACACAAAAGAAGAGGATATAAAACATCAGCGGAAGTATACATAACATAAACCATATACAAAAGACCAAGAAAAAGAAAAGAATTGAGCAAAACTAAGCTTGAGCTGCTTGACAAAACACGAAACTAATTTACTTATAATTCTTAGTTTTTCTCTTTTATTTTTTCCCCTATTTTTCGTGCTAGTTAAATTCATAAAAGATCCGGTGTGACAAGGTCTTCTTCTCTGGTGGCTAGAACGTATAAAAATTTCTAATTTTGTTTTGTTCAATATAGTGCAGCTCAAACTATCGAAAAGTGATGAGTGGTGAATAATAATCAATTGATTTATGAAATTTTGGTACCGTATCATGTATTGCACCCAAAGGAAAATGGTATAGTTGAACTCAATTCTTTGGTTAAAACACGACTTGATCATATATATATATATATATATATATATATATATAGTTCTCTCTTACAGTGTATAACAGTATAGATTTTTAGGTTTTGATTTCCATCATTATCGAAAATTACTTAAATGATGAAGTTACAAATTAATCAGCAACTAGACTAAGGATTTTTTCAAAAAAGGAAAAAATACTTATGAAGTGATTTTTCAAATGGTAATTTTCTCTTATTGAGTTTGAAGAAGTTGATATCCTGGAAAAAAAAAAAAGAGAAAATACATATGAAGTGATTTTTCAAATGGTAATTTTCAAAAGTGCGGAATGGAAGCAAGTAAAAGAGAAACATAGATGTCACCAGTACGATGCATCTCAATGTTAAGAATCTATAATAAACAAATCCGACGTCATTTTTCGCACATTTGAATTTTTGGAATTGAATGTATGGAGTTGATCTTTTTGTTGGACTTTTTTCCGTCATGGGAGATATATGGTGGCCGAAGTATGGTGGACAAGTCATAGATGACTTATTTCAACGACGACTTAAAGACGACCAAAGGAAATGGGAACGAGAGGTACATATGAAGACTGTCAAAATAGTTTGTCAAGAATAAGAAATATGTTCTCGTTCAAACGAAACCCATGTTCGAGTTTGTATCTTTTATAAGGGGTTTATCCAAAATAGATGGAGATTAGTACACAAAGTGTAATATGAGCATAGGTTAATCTTGGCCTTTAGCTTCGTGTGCACCACATGCCTAGGGTTTTCATTTATTTATTTATTTATTTTGTGTAAAGAAAGAGGTTAGAGCATGACATAAACTTAAATGAAGCCATTTTGTGAATTAGCAACTTTGATAATATTATATTCCAACCACAGTAATGAACAACTGCAGCTACAATTGTTAGGTAGTTCCCTTGAGTCTTGACTTCAACTAAGAATAAAACCTGGATATTTTGATGTTTTTGTCCAATGATAAATGGTGGGGGACTAAACAATGTCGTCCACCCGACATACTTAATGTCGTCCAGAGAGTCGTGAATGCGAATTGGGGTGAAATTTCCAATTGTGATTTAAGACAAAAAATATTCTAGTTTTCGTTCAAAACCAGCACAATCGGGCTATGAAAGAGAGGGCAAGAATTACGAATCGTACTAAACATTGGAGTTGAACGTTTTCTTATAAACAGGACAGAAAGTTTCCAAATTTAGTAAAACTTCTATAAATTAATAGTGTTTGGACCACTAAATTTTATTAAATTAGCGAATTATTAAATAATCGATAAATTAATAAATTATTAATTTAAAGAATTTTTTCGTTAAAACCCTACTATACTACGTAATTTTCCATCGTTTCTCTACAATCCTAAACAAGTTGGGAATGTAACTCTTTTTCATAATAAACTCAAACCTAATAAAATGAATGTCAATCAGTTGGTGGATTATTCAAGTGAAAATGATGAATCTATAAAGGTCAAATCATTTGAGAATATTGTAACTAGTGTCTTTGAAGATAATTCAATTGGGAATGAAGGTGATGATAATTCACTGCCTTTGGCACTAGTCACACGAAAAGAAGCACTCAAATCATCAACAACTTTTCAGAATTTGTTGTTGTAATTTGAGAATACAACACCAGAACTATCAAGGGCAATGAAACAAGGATGAAATTTCATTGGATTTAAATTTCAAGAAAAAACAAGTATCAATAAGCTCATATTTTAGTAAATCTTCCTAGATATTAGTATTTTTTTTGGCATTTAAGGTACTTATTAATTTGCAGTAATGTTGGGACCTATAGATATATAAGAAATTTTCTGAAATATTATTATCTTATTATTTTATCGATTTTTGGTCACTTTTTGTACTGGTTCCAAATTGGGACCAGAAAAAATTATTAATTGCTAGAAGTTATTAATTTATCGATTATTAATTTATCGGCGTTCTACTGTATTGTTCACATTTTAAGGTTAATTATATATATATATATTTTACTTTTTATTTTTTGGTACAAAAAGGTTAATTATATTACTATCATATTTAGTGTAAGTTCTAGAATATGAGAAATACATAGTATACTTGGCTTACTTCTAAGAGAAATAGGTCAACTATCTTACGCCCGTTGCATGACGTACGAGGTTCAACTGCAATCCTTCTCTAAAGTGGCTATGCTCTACCCTCTTTCGTCCTATTTGAACAGTTTACTTTGTTGAATTCCGAAAACACAACAAAATTGTTTATTATCGATCAAAACAGAATTTTACTCCCTCCGTCTCAAAAAAACAATTCACATTGAGTTTTGAACTATTTTTATAGGGCGGAGATAGTATTTTATTTTTTTTCCAAAAGCAATCAGAACTTCTGCCCATTAATGTGACGAGTGACGACTGATTTAAATGCGGAATACACTCTATTTTCTGTGAAAACAATATGATTAATACGCAACACAAAAATAGTAGTATAAGATTGGAAGTCCTCAGTGATCGATCACTTCAGCCATGAAACCTTTCTCTTTTCTAAGATGAAAAACCAATCCATTACATCTTGTATTCACGTCCTGCTGTTTCTTCTCTTTACTTTATCCCTAAACTCATTAGCTTCTTCATCAGTTCATCCTCATTACTTGCAAAAAGGTGCCATTTTATCCGTGGAAGATCATGATACGAGATTCATCAGATCCCGAGACCAGACGTTTACTTTTGGGTTTTACAAAATAGGAATCAATGCTTATTCATTAGCAATATGGTTCACGAATTCAAAAGACAAAACAGTGGTTTGGATGGCAAACAGAGAAAGACCCGTCAATGGAGTCGGGTCAAAGGTTTCTTTGAGCCGAAATGGAGCAATGGTCTTAACAGATGTCGATGATGTGGTAGTATGGGAGACCAGCAGAATCACCTCTACGGAAATCGATCGAGCTGAGCTTCTTAATTCCGGCAATTTAGTCCTCAAGAACTCCACAGATGTTGTAAATTGGCAGAGCTTTGATTATCCGACGGATACGCTGTTGCCTACTCAAATGTTTACAAAGAGCAAGAGTTTGGTGTCTTGTTTAAGGAAGGGAAGCTATGAATCTGGCTACTTCCACATGAATTTCGACAGCGACAACGTTTTGAAGTTGGTCTACGATGGTCCTGAGATATCCGGTATATATTGGCCTAACTATGACTTTACTGTGTTCCAAAATGGAAGAACGAACTACAACAGCAGCAGAGTTGCTGTTCTTGATGATATGGGGAGGTTCTCGTCAAGTGACATGATGAATTTCGACGTCGTCGATGCAGGTTTCGGGATCAAAAGAAGGATGACACTTGATTTTGATGGGAATTTACGAGTCTACAGCTTGAATAATTTGACTGGAGTTTGGTATGTATCATGGCAAGCTCTGTCAACACCCTGTTCTATCAGGGGCCTGTGTGGAAGAAATGGTATTTGCATTTATTCTCCTGAACCTAAATGTTCATGTCCTCCTGGATTTGTGGTTTCTGATCCCAGTGATTGGAACAAGGGATGCAAGCCCACATTCAATCTCAGTCATCCGATCAATCAGCCGGTGAAATTCGTGAAGATTTCTGATGCAGATTACTATGGTTTTGATCTCAATTATAACCAATCGATTTCATTGGAAGCTTGCAAGGAACTTTGCCGGAAGAATCCCAATTGCCTAGCAATCAACTACAAATCGACGGGAAGCGGGAATTGTTATACAAAGAGTGCGCTTTTCAATGGCTACCAACCCCAAGGAGCTGGATCCATATTCCTCAAAGTCCCTCAAAATCTGTCAGTCTCGGAGCCGGTTATACTTGACGGCGTTCGAGCAAGATGTGAATCTAATCCAAGAGAAGTAGTGCAAGGTTACTCGTCTATGTACATTACAGTGTCAGGGACAGGAAGGACGATATGGATCTATCTCTACTCAATTTGTTTCACTCTTTTGGTTATCGAAATCGTGTTAGTTCTTCTGGGTTGGTTTTTCCTTTTTAGGAAAGGCAGTCTTCCGGATACAGTCAATGCCGGATATCAGATGATCGCCAGTCAATTTAGGAGATTTAGTTACAAGGAACTAAAGAAGGCAACCGATAATTTCAAAGAAGAGCTCGGGAGAGGAGGCTCAGGAGTAGTTTACAAGGGTGTATTAGCTGATGGCAGGTTGGTAGGGGTAAAGAAATTAGGAGATGTTCTTCTTCAGGGTGAAGAAGAATTCTGGGCAGAGATTAGCATTATAGGGAAAATCAATCACATGTATCTAGTTCGAACTTGGGGATATTGTTCGGAAAAGAGACGCCGGCTTTTAGTGTATGAATACATAGAGAACTCTTCCTTGGACAAGCATCTGTTCATCAGCTCAAACTTTCTGGGATGGAAACAAAGGTTCGCAGTGGCATTAGGAACAGCTAAAGGTCTGGCTTACCTACACGACGAGTGTCTCGAATGGGTCATTCATTGCGATGTAAAGCCCGAAAACATACTTCTGGATCGCGATCTTCAACCTAAGATTGCTGATTTTGGTCTTGCTAAGCTCTATCAGCGAGAAGTTGGGGGATCCGGCTTAGAGTTGTCGAGAATTCGAGGGACAAAAGGTTACATGGCGCCGGAATGGGCTCTGAATCAACCCATTTCAGCAAAGGTTGATGTGTATAGTTTTGGAATTGTAATCCTGGAGATGGTCAGCGGATTCAGGCTTTCAAGCTGGACCATGAACCATAGAAATAATCAACCAGAAACAGAACTAACAAAGTTAATGAGGGTAATTAAGGAACAAGGAGAGGAGTCCTGGATGGAAACTGTAGTTGATCCAAGATTGGGAGGAAAGTTTAACAAGAAACAAGCTATTATCTTGATCAAAGTCGGCGTTTCTTGTGCTCAGGAGGACAGAAACAAGCGGCCTGGAATGGCTTCTGTTGTTGAGACTCTGCTTCAATCTGAATGTAGCAGCGACGAGGAAACCTGATTGTAATAATAAACTTTCCCTCCTCGATTTCTAGTGCAATTTTAAGAATTGCATGTAATAATTGATAGACGAGTTTGATCCACTGTAACTGGATTTTATATGTTTCATAAAGGTAGATGATATAATTGCCATTGAAGACTTCGGTATATATTTTCTTATCATGGTGCAAATTTAATAAGATGCAATTAATCGAACTTGTATAAGCCAAAAACTTTAAACCACCAATGTAGCAAATCGAGTAAATGGAAATGCACCGGAACTACAAAACTCGAAATAATCAATTTATGCTCTAATCAAACACTAGTGCTGTAATGTTGTAAAACGAAGGGGCAACATTTTGAGTGTGATGATTGTTGTCCCTACAGTAGTTACCGTGTTTATTGTAAGAAGATTGAAGGCATCATAGTCCTCCCTTTCATGAAAGATGCAGGGAGGAGAACAAGTCATCTAACTGTGATATATATGAAGCTGATAAACCATTTGAATTCTAGGACATTCTTTTGACAAGCTGAATATCATTTTTGTTTCACCATGTGACATGAGGATTGCAGGGGCTTTCAAAGAAGGTAGCTCCGCGGCGGAGTTTGTCCGGACTTACTATATAACAAGGGAGTAATTGAAGTGTTCAAAAATAAGAACGTATAGTGTCTTCAACTCCGTCATTTTTTTAAAGCAATCAATTTTAACTTTTGTTAATTTTCTTATAAACTTGAAGAAATTAATATAGAAGAAAATGCTTGTGAAGAAATTTCTTTAAAATGGCAATTGTCAAAAATATGGAATGGAAGCTAGTAAACGAGAAACATGTTACCAATTTATGTGATGCATCTCATTGTTAAAAATGTTTATATAAACAAAATGTAAATTTATTTTCGTACGTCTAAAATTTTGCAATGGAACGTGTGGCATTGATCGTTTGTTCGACTTTTTTCCCTTTTGAGATATATGTGAGCTGTCAAGTCATCGATGACTTGGAGTTCAGCAACGACTTAAAGAAGACCAAAGAAAATGAGCTTTAAATTTGTGTTAAAATTTGGTACAAATTTCATCATTTAATCTACACTTTTCTTGGGGGAATAAATGGAATACAAATAAAGGTTAGTTCTTGACTCAGTAGAGAAATCTTCAAATTCTTGCTCACGGCATCTCTAAGTTTGTAAATTAAATCTACCAGATACAACAGTTAGGTGGACGAAGCTCTCTCTTGAGTCTTGACCCCAACAAGTCAACAAAGAAGAGAACCTTGATAGTATTTGATATTTTGATAATGTCGTCCTTCATTTACTATGTCCCTTCCACGTCCCTAATGTGTTGCCCAGAGAGTAGAGAACGTAATGGTGGTGAAAGTTCTGATTGTGATTTAAGACGAAAAATATTCTTGTTTTCTTTGTTCAAACCCAACGAAAAATATTCTAGTTTTCCTTGTTCAAAACCAACACAATCGTGCAAAGATAAAGGGGAGAGATAATATTGCATTCTACAACTAGCTGAATTTCTAATAAGGGCATTAAAAAGATATTATTTATTGTGAGGGGTATGGGTTACAATTATCCATTACTGAATATTTTTAATTTTTTTTCAGTTATTAAAAGACCAAATAATCCCTTACTCCTTATCCTTCACGGAATGATGAATTCGGCAAATTGCAACATGGAAAAAAAAAAAAAAACTCTTTTTGCTCGCAATTGGAGATCTGATTATGTAATCTATGGAAATAACATATCAACTTTTTTTACTTTTTATTAGTTAATAATCACAGCAGCCGCCATTTTGATGATATAAGCTAAATGTTTCGATTTGTTGCTAATGAAGAAGAAAGGAAATCTCGTTGTAGTTAGAGCTTTGAAAAGTGCTGCCATTTCAAGAGAACAAGCAGATTGGACATCTTATGATATATGATTTCAGATTTATTAAGGAATAAGAAAAAGAATGAAGCTGATTTTGGATGAATCTTGAGAGGAAAGTCGAAACCTTCTGTTTGTCAAGATGAAGAGGATAAGACAGTAAATTTGTAGACCCAAATAACAATATAATAAATAGATAAATCCCATGCCCTTTTTAATAATTACTAATCTTCTCATGCCCTTAAGGAAACTTAAAAAATAATAGTTTGTGCAATGAAAAAGAAATTTCAATGAGAAGTGAATCATAATTGTCCATATTTACAATTTATCTAAATAAATTTATGCATATAAGAACTGGAGATAATTTAAATTTGGCCACATTGTTCCTTCTAAAGTTTCTTGTCAAAATTACTTTCCACGTATCACCATTCCGTACAAAAAATTAAGTTGCAAGTTACCATAATTAGCTACAGGAGGGATATTGGCTTTGTTGGCATACCATTATCGTGTTTGAAAGATAACACATAACGTTACATGTTTATATGTACCCCAAAAAAAAAGTTACATGTTTATCTATAACATAAAATAAAAGTCTCGGTGAACCAAAAAATTCCTAAAATATAATTGGTCGGACGGGTTTATTCCTCAAATATGATTAGTCGGATGGTCTTTTTTTAATTAGGAGCACAACAGTAATTTCAAAAATAAACATTTTATTTTATTGGCTGCTGAACGCCCGCGCGTCGCGCGAAGTACTGTCCTTATTAAAAAAAAATTCACGGGTCATTCCAGGTCATAAGACAACGCGAGTCTTTAAGTGGGTCGTCTTGGCCCCCTTCCCTTTTTTGTTGTTTTTTTTTCCTTTTCTTTAATAGAAATTTGGTTTTCTTTTGTTTCTTTAATAATTTTTTTTCTATTTTCTTTAATAAAAAATTGCTTTGGTTTTGTTTGTGATTTTGTTTAGCCTTTTCCTCTATTATTTTTTTCCTTTTTGTAGATTCAAGTTTTATTCTTATTTACTTATTTTTTATATTAATGTTTGTCCAAGTAAAATTTACATAAATTGACATATAATAGTAAAATGTATAAATATACATTTTAAAAATACAAGTGCGTGATTTTGATTGTTACACTAATAATTTAAATTACATGTTCATAATAATTTTAAATTAATTTTAATTGTTATATGCATTTTTTTAGAATACATACACATAATCTTTGAACACTTTTTTTTTTTAATATTTTACAAAAACAATAATATATATTAAAAAAACAAAAATATATACTTATTATAAGTGTAGCTGCCGTTTCTTATTTCTTCCGGCTCAGTGTACTCGACTTTGACTCTTACGTTCGGCTATTACACAGCACAAACTAATCCATGTGCATAGATCTAGAGTTTATGTGCATAATTCAAGACTCCATGTGCATGGATCCATAGTCTATACATTCTGTTCATAAATCCAGACCCTATCTGTATGGATCCATATTACATATGCATTATTTGAGACCTCGTGCGCATGGATCCAGACCCGATGTGCATGGATTAAGACTCCATGTGCATAATTCGCCCATAGTATCTAAGATATTACATGCCAGTGCTATTACCCTAAGAGATCTCCTTTGCATTTGCTTTGGAAAAAACTGATTAAGGAGGTTACGCTTTATTGCTAAACTAACAACCTGTTTTTGCATTTTTTCCCTCTCCAATTTTTATTTATTTTTTTGTTAATTTTAGTGTCGCTTTTTTCAAAATTTCATTCTATTATTTCTTCACCTGAATTTTTTATTTATTTATTAGACCTTCTTATTTATATATATTCAATAATATATTAGCACCTCAGAGATAATATTTACATGTATGAATGTGACATGCAAATAGATACCCTAAGATAAATGAATAAAAAAACATAATAGAAAAAAATAAAATGTGTAAAACTTACCATTAACCTAATTGCAAGAGTAATATTGTAATAACTATGCAAACATTTTTTTTAATTCTAATTTTTTTTCTTTATATTTTTATTTTAAAATTTTCTCTTATTTTTTTTACTCTACATTTCTTTGGGTAAATTTTTTCAATACTATAGAAACTCCAAATCAATAGGCACTTATTTATTTTATTACACGATTGTAAATGTTATAATTTACTATTATCAAAATAGTAAATTATGATAAACCAAAACTTGTTGGTTGTAACTCTAATTTCCTAAATAGTTATAATCTGAATGTTCTGAAATTATACAAATTCATGAAACCCGCATTCCCAATCAATTAGTGCTAACAAGTATATGGGGAGAGTTATCTCCGTCATTTGATCCAGTTATAGTCTGAATGTTCCGAAATTGAATCTCCACGCAACAATAATTGATGAACCGTCATGGCCATTTTTAAGGATTTTATTTATGCACAGTTTTCGTTAAAACTCTGCTTCACAATGACCATCAACAAGTCACAAACACAGACACTGGAGTGCATCAGGTAATACTTACGTGAACCGGTCTGCTGACGTTAGAGGACGAAGTAGTGGACACAAAAACTCGAAATGTGAAATATTACAACTAGCAATAGATTCATAGATTCATGTTATTCGTCATTTTATTTATTGCCTAATTCAAAAAAAGTCATACAATTTACTCCCATCACTCTATATAAATAGTTGAACAATAGATCTGACAACATCCAAATCAAATACCAAACCATACTTCTAAGAAAAAATAATAAACACAATAAATTACTTATAGGATGCATAGCGTATCGCGCGACGGAGCGCCGGCCATATCAAAGCAGAATACCTCAAACCAAATATCACATTCGCTCCACACAAATGAAAAACTGTATTTTTGCCTAAACGATCTCTCATCTCCGACGACATAAGTATCAAAGACATCACATTCAAAAGGATTAGTTCCCGGTGAAACTCTGCTTTGCAATGACAATCAACAAGTCACAGGGACAAATTATGGAGTATGTCGGGTTACAGTTACGTGAGCCAGTCTTCTCTCACAGTCAGCTATATATTGCTCTCTCTCGCGCCAAGACGTCCAGATCCCTAAAAGTACTCTTAATGTTGCTGGCGTTACAGGACGTTATCAAGGATACCAAAGCTCGAAATGTGGTGTTCGAAGAAATATCACAACTTGCAATGACTTGATATGGATAAAAAAATTATAAAAATAGTTTCATTTTATTCATCATTTTATTTAGTACATAGTTGTACTTGCTACAGTTTAATGCTTTCACTTCATACATAATATTTTACCAATTACTCTTCCAACAACAAAATCAAATAACAAAGGAAAACTTATTCAAAAACAAAAATGAAGATAACAAATTATTTACAGAATGCGTTGCGCAACGCGCGACGGATCCTCAGCACTAGTTGATATGCTTATATTTTACCTATTTATTCTATCCCTAATTTGTGATTTTTGCAATATATTTTGAGTACAAATATGCTATTTATGTGATTTTATCTTTAATTGTAGGAATTTTACTCAAATGAAGAATTGTTGAAGTTTTGAGCTAAAATCGAATTAAAAGCAACTCAACGGGAAAGAATTGAATATTGGA